ATCCTTTTATTTATGTCAGAAAGTCTGAGATTGTCCTGTGTCCTCTGCACGCTTCCTGTTTTATCATCAGCCCTCCTAGTTCTTATCTTGGGAATAGAGAATGATCAGCCTTTATGTTAAGTTGATGGGAGATTGGGAGGGTTTGAGCATAGTTACATAGTATTTGGGGTTGAATAAAGACATACGTCGATCAAGGCCAACCCATATAGATCAACTCTTATATATAAAAAATACACTGGGCAGGGCTGACACCATTCTGCGTGCGGTCAGCCCAGCACAAGACTGCTAAAAGCATTTCTGGCAGATCAATGGGAATTTTTCTGTATGGGGGAGGGGGGTAATTAAAGGGGTAAGACATGGGGGCAATGTATTGTAGTAGAGATGTAATGCACTTTTTTTTCATTGTGCATACAGCCACCCGTCAGACACAGTACCGGGCCCCGGATAGTGTTCATTGTTATGTTATACAAATAGTCTGAAGTATATTGTGACACAGAGGAGTTCTAGGAAGCCGGTGGAGACGACGTATCATGAGATCCTTCCTCCTCGTTCCGGGCCTGAGCCGCCAGACTGCAGAACCAAACGCATGGAACCCAATACTTGTTATAAGAGGAGCACAGATTCTCAAACTTCTTCCGCTCAAAGCGAGTCATAAACCCTGACGGAGGAAGACAAGACACTTCATTAGCCAACACCAGGGGTAGACTCCACGTTAGGGGGACAGACTCCATGTCACATATCTCCTTCTGTCTGTGTCACCCTGTGGTAGAAGGGACAGACTCCATGTCACATAGCTCCTCCTGTCTGTGTCACCCTGTGGTGGGAGGGACAGACCCCAGACTCCATGTCACATAGCTCCTCCTGTCTGTGTCACCCTGTGGTGGGGGGGACAGACTCCATGTCACATAGCTCCTCCTGTCTGTGTCACCCTGTGGTGGGAGGGACAGACTCCATGTCACATAGCTCCTCCTGTCTGTGTCACCCTGTGGTGGGAGGACAGACTCAATGTCACATAGCTCCCCCTGTCTGTGTCACCCTGTGGTGGGGGGACAGACTCCATGTCATATAGCTCCCCCTGTCTGTGTCACCCTGTGGTGGTAGGACAGACTCCATGTCACATAGCTCCCCCTGTCTGTGTCACCCTGTGGTGGGGAGGACAGACTCCATGTCACATAGCTTCCCCTGTCTCTGTCACCCTGTGGTGGGGAGGACAGACTCCATGTCACATAGCTTCCCCTGTCTCTGTCACCCTGTGGTAGAAGTGATAGACTCCATGTTGGTTCTCTCAAGTTGGTCACAAACCAGCACCCGCCACCACCGTCTCCAATTTTTTTTTTTGTCAATGAGTTTTCACTGTGTTACCCCCACTGAGAAAGACAATATTTGCACCTTTGTGGGCTTTCCCGGCAATCCAAGTTGGCCCCATACGGGTGTTTGGGCTCTTGCTCTCCTATATCAGAAACATTTATATGTTGTATAT